TAATACGGTGTCGTCAGCAAATAAAATAGAGTGGGCGTTAGATGGCAGCACTTCTGGGAGATTATTAATATAGGTCAAAAAAAGGGTCGGACCTAAAGTGCTTCCCTGCGGTATACCATAATTGCACGTAAAGGCATCACTTACTACATTGTTTACTCTGACATACTGTTTCCTGCCTTCGAGATAACTTTGGAACCAATGTAGGACGTGACCGCGGATGCCCAGTGCTTCCAATTTTGACAAAAATATTGGTCTAGAAACAGTATCAAAGGCTTTTTTAAGGTCCAGGAATATTCCAATCACTTTCTCTCCCCTGTCTAGGTATTGATTTATAAGAGATGTTAGTTCTAAGACCGCATCGTCTGTGGATCTTCCTTTGCGGAAACCACGTTGGTAATCCGTTAGTAAGTTATTTTTTTCTAGATAGTTGATAAGTCTGGTATTGACTAGTTTTTCTAGGATTTTGGACATGATAGAAAGCAGGGATATGGGTCTGTAGTTGGAGACATCGTATTTGTTGTCTGATTTGAATATAGGCGAGATGATTGCGGATTTAAACTGGTCAGGAAATATACCTTGTTCTAGGCTTAGATTGCATAAGTGAGTTATAGGATGGACAAGGAATTCTTTAGTTACTTTAACAAATTTACTACTAATACCATCATAACCAGGGGAACTGTCTAATTTTAGATCATTTATAACTTTAGTAACTTCATGGGGATCAGTAGGTATAAGTGACATCGAATGGACAGTTGTTTTTTGCTGTGCAGCTGCTCTTCTTGCTAATTCATCTTCTGATACGTTGATATTCTGTAGGATTATTTCGGCTAGGTTTTGACCAATGTTTGTGAAATATGTGTTGACTTTATTTAGCGAATCTTTTGGCGTGCTATCTATATTCAGTAATTCAATGGGTGTTTCATTTTTAGTTTTTGTGTTACATATGTCCTTTATAATATTCCAAGTCTTTTTAATGTTTTTCTCATTATTCTGTAGTTGATTTTGATAATACTGTTTTTTTAGGGTCTTTATTAAATTGTTACAAACATTTCTGTAGTTGATATATGTAGTTTTTGCGAGTTCGTCGTCAGGTCTATGTTTCGTTTTTTTGTGCAGCTTGTCTCTTTTGCGAATCGATCTTACAATACCGATGGTAATCCATGGCTTGAGAGGGGCTTTCTTTTTAGATATATGCCTTGTACTAGTGGATTCTTTAATTACATTTTTAATAGTGTTCATAAGAAATTCGGCAGATTGGTTTATATCTTGTATTGTATAGTATTGTGTCCAGTCAATAGAACTAATTTTCCTTAACGCCATATTATAATCTATTATATGTTTAGTGAACATGGTAGTCTTTCTTAAAATAGCTGCTTCTTTGATTTGTAGTAGAATTGGGCTGTGGTCTGTTAATTTCCGATTTTCGAGTT